GGGGGGGGGGGGATCTTAATATAGAGAGTATATAGTATATAAGTTGAAGTTTATATTAAGTTTCAAATTAATAATAAAAATGATTTTTTGCTTCAACTTTATTTAAGGACAGAAGCTGTTACAATCTACAAATCATAGTAATGAAAAGAATTAATTAATTAAAATGTTAAGAAAAACTTGATTTTCCCTCTTAGAGCCCCTAATTTTTGCTAATTGAAAAAATAATTATATGCTTTGCTGAATGATAAAAGAAGTAAGAATTAATCTTAAAATATTGATTAACTAAAAAGATTAATCAGAAAATATTAGATTTAAATTACTCCATTATTTTTAATTTTTGTCCTCTTATTTTAACTCAATCAAAAAAACAATTTAGTTAGTTATTGATAAAAGTGGTTATTTTTTTAGTACTGATGGTTTTATGTTTATATAGTTGTATTAAAATTGAATAATAAACAAAAATTAATTAATTTTATATACCAAAATGAAAAAACTGGACTTAAATTTTAAAACTTAATATTAACTAAATGATAAAATAAACATGATGAATTTTTTTCAGTTGCTGTTTTTTAATAATCTTTTTTTAGTAATGCTAGATGAACTGACTCTAATAAAAGTTGAATTCTATTATGATTGTAGTTATTATTATAAATCTGTACTAATTAGAGCTTCTAGTTCTATTTGCTTTAATTACTTTTCTCTTTTATTTTTTTTATAAGTTTTTATAAGATCTTAAATTAAGAATGCATATCTAATAAGCTACAATAATGTACTTATTAATAAACAAATAAGTATAGATATTATAATTATACTACCAAGTAATTCAATTTTTAGAAGAGTTTCATTTGGTATTGCATCTTCATTTGCAGTAGCTTACATTTCTTTGATAGTTATTCCAATAAATATAAATAATACGCTAACCATTATTTCTTAAAGTACTTTTATAATTGTTATTATTTTACTTTTAAAGAATCTAAGGTATAATAAATATAAACCACTAACTCCATATACTATACAAGATATTAAAGCACATTCAAATTGTTTCTAAAATAAGACAAGAAATGAGATCACAATAAAGTATTTCTTAAAGAAAGAAATTAAAATGTAAGATTTAGATCCTTTCATTTTAAAATCGATATCACCATAAATATTTGGAGCTTTTAAGAATAAGTAATCACCAGATTTCTGATAAAGCAAGTAAACTAAAGTTACAAAGAAGAAACAATAAGCTGAGATTTAAAAGATCAGATGAAAAATATTCTCACCACTT